TATGCTTAAATGGCTCTATCAACCATAAAAATTTTGCTATCAAAAGCTTGGGTTTTTGGTATGAATATGGAGACAAAGTGAAGGAGATGTTGTTTTTAGTTCATAACAATTGAGAAAGAGAGTATGAGTATCGATTTTAAGTGCATTAAAAGCTTCAAACCTTGGTTGTACAAGGTTGTTGGGTTGTACAAGGTTGTTGAGAGTATTCATGGAAATGGCAATGTTGTAAATACTTGAAGATGATGAGGTTGAGAGAGTAAAAAGACCATTTTCGAAAAAAGTAAAAAAAAAATTAATGGCATTTTCGTAAATAAATTGAAGATGTGGGGTGAATAGGACAAAAACAAGATGAGTTAAAAGAAGAAGTTAGTTTTGTGTTTGACTATGATTTTTGAGTCAATTTTGCAAAAATCCCTTTGTTTTATTTGTTATTTTGAATAATTTTTAGTTAATTAGATAGTTTAAATTTCTAATTAGATTTGTAACTAATTTATATACTTCGAAAAATTTTTTGTCAATTTTTGAGGTATTAAAAATATTTTTTTGGACGATTTAAACATTGGTTAAATCCGATCCGAACCAAAACCGGAAGGAATCAAACTGAACTCGATCCGATAATTAGTAAAAACCGAATGATACTTATGAGTGTAACACCGAAAATCCAAAAATCCGAATCCTTCAGACCGAAACTGAACGGGCCACCGAACGCCCAAGGCCATCACCAGATCATCAGATCGACCGCGGGTGACCACAGTTTAATAAATAAATTATTTTTAATGTTTTATCATATAATCTATATAAGCTATGAAAATAAATATATAGAAGCTAAATTTAAGTATTTTCTATTTTTTTATAAAACATAACATATTAGTTTTAGATATTTAGAAAAAAAAACTTAACAAGTTAAGATTTATGACATCTTACAGAAAATATCTATATTTTCTGTTTAAGAGTTAAAAAAAAAACTGTTTTTTATTATTTGACATATAAAGTATTAAAAAATCTAAATTTTCTGTCTAACAGAAAATATTAGTTTAAGAGTTAAAAAAAAAGACTGTTTTTTTTTTCATTTGACATACAAAATATTAAAAAATCTATTTTTTTTGTAACAAGTTAAGATTTATGACATCTAACAGAAAATATCAAAAAAAAAAATTTTATAATATTTAAACGTTTATGTAAATAATAAAATTCAAATTCAAATATAAAATAAACCAAAATTAAGACATCGTTAATTAATTATTGATAACAAAAAGAAACTAACACCAAATTATATTAACTAAGTTTGGTCCTCTATATCATATTCACTTCATTTTTTCAAGTAAAAAAAAATAAAAAATATTAAGTTAAAATTATTTAATTGTTCAGCCATTGGTTCAACCGGTAATCGGGTTCCGAGTTTTTGTGGGTTTTTGATTTTTTAAATATTGGTTTTTAACAAAATCCAAACCGGAATGATCTTGGGTCATCGGGTTTTCTGGTTCAACCGTGAATCAAGATCGAATTTGAAAACACTGGTTAAATCAAACACCCGCACAGAGGCGCGAGTCAAGTTATAGTTACATGATTAAAGTTAAAACATCACTGAAAATATACTATTAATGTTTATGATATTAATGTTTGTCATGTTTTAATTAGGTTTTAGCTAAGTTTGCTTATTTGTTAGGTTCTTCGTGATTTCAGTTTGTTTTGTTTATTTGTCATGTTTTATTTAGGTTTTAACTAATTTTTTCTTATTTATCGTTCTCCATTATTTTAGTTAGTTTTGTTTATTTGTCATATTTTAATAATGTTTTAGCAAAATTTTGCTTATTTATCTTGTTCTCCATGATTTTAGTTGGTTTTATTTATCTGTCATATTTTAATTAGGTTTTAACAAGGTCACTGATTTATTATTAGTTTTTTTTTGAGTCATTACTTTAAATAATATAACTGTTTCAAACTTTGTAATTAGACATAAAAATATTTTTCTTAATTTTGTAATTTTTTGAAGTGATTTTTCGTATTCAAACTCTTATGTTGAAAGTTAAAGCTAAAATTAAACTCATCAACTCGAATTTGTTTAGGTCATTGTGTTCCATGGATTTTGTGCCCTAGTTTTTTTTCCTCTAACTTACAAATACAAATACTCTGAACTATTCAGTGTGTTTTAGCATGTACAATTATTTCTCAAATTCTTAGCTGTGACCATGCTCTATCCATTCCAGTTTCTACAACAGTTAGTATATAAAAAGATTAAAAAGAGACAGTGTGTTTATGTGTTGTATTTTTATGTCTTGTTTTCACTCATGTAACAGCGTTTGGTACTATGTTGAGGTGAGGATCGGTTTTGTAAAGACAAAGGATTACAATCAGGGCCGAGCCTGGATCAAGCCAATGAAACATTGGTTTCAAGCCCCCATTTTTTATAGGTCCCCAAATAAAACAAAAATCCAAATATATAAATCCATAAATATAGAAAACAAATCATATGTGTTTTAGATACATTATGATTTTATTAAATGTTTAACTGGTTGGGCCAAATAATATAATAACCCAATAAATTTTCAAATAACAATCTATAAAACTAAAAAATCCGATTAACATTTATTTTTCTGTGCTAAATTTTTTTCGAAAAAATACTATTATGTTTTTTTTCTTCAGAAGATTACCTATAAATATAAAAAAAAAAATTGTTTCACTTTCATTATTCTTTTTTTTACTATTTTAGAAATTTTTAGTATATTTTTATATATAATATATAGGTCCCCATTTTTTATTTTGTTTTAGGCCCCAATTTTTCAGAGCCGGTCGTAATTACAATGAGAAGTTAACAGCTGAACTTTTTGGCCCTATGTTTACACTGGTCGACAAGTTCGAGTTTCTGGTAACTGAAGATGCGGGAGACACCATAAAAGATGAGAAACGGTTTGCAACTGAAGATGACTGAGATCTGCCTAAACAAAATACACACATATCCAGAAGAAATTTACAAAAATTTACGTAAAAACAATTTACTCTCAAAATAAAGGTATAAAAGGCATCCATTGATTATAGAAAGAGTTCATTACATTTTTAATGAGTTCGGAATTGAAGCTAAAAATATTGAGCTACAGAATAATAAAAACTCAAAAATCTTATCATTACGGAATCTTGAACATGTTTAAGTTGCATCAGTTTTTCTTATCTGAGAAAAAAAAAAGCTGATCCAAGATAAAACGAGACTCCTCAAATTACATATGAAAATAAAACTAATAAATCACAAGAGAAAAGAAACCACAGACTCATCGATGCTCAAACATTCAAACATTAGTGCTGCGTCGGCTGCGGCTATATTTAACATAAAAGCTTGTTCGTTTTGTTGACACGTCCAAACGCTGAAAATCATGCGTTCAGTCATAAATCTGAGTAAGTATACTCTTTCTCTTCTCTCACATCTCTTATCCAAAGCTCTCTCTACATAAATCTGTTCTGCATCTTTAAGTTCACACAAATAGAGTCTTTGTCTGTTGAAGGAAATCTTAACAGGAGAACTGAGTCATTGTAAGGGTTTCTTGAAGAACATAACACAAGTGTTGTTGTAAGTTATTGAGATACTAATTAATTTTGATAAACTGGAACTCTACTTTCACATATAGTAGTAAACTAAAACAAATAATATATTTTGATGGTTGAAAGCTTTTAAAGAGAAGACAGACATCTAGACTCAACACTCAATCCCAAAACTTAATATTCTATATTTTGAGGTGGAAAAAAGTAAGGGGCCACGACCCTGGGAGTAGAAGTTGAGATGGTAGAATCATCAAGCTTGAAAATTGAAATCTGGTCGACATCCAAGACATAGACCTCATTAGATCTCATCCCAGGAAAAGAGCTAGCACGGAAACAGAATGGCTCAGACTTTGAGATGCAAATGTTGAGATCGCCAATGTCTCTAGTGTAAAATGCATCTCCCTTGGCGCTTACTTTGAACACCATTACAGCTTTTGGTTTCAAACTGGTACCACCACCGTCCACGGCCTGTCTGAAACACTTGACCAAAAAGGTTTCACCTGTGGATTGTGATTCCACCAAGTGTTGGGTGGTGAGACAGGTATCCATAACCTCACGTTCGCCTACGCTCAGCTCGGGAAGGTTATGATATCGCAACACCTGAATCTCGGGTGTGTGCTCGTCTTTGCAGACATCCCATGATGCAATGAGTTTGCCTCCAGCTCCAGGTATGCAAAACATGTTATGTTTCTTGGAAAACATGACACTGGAGGAGAAGAAGCTTGGGTTTGCGATCCTGATGTTGAACCACTTGGAGTTGCCTTGAGCAGCAGAGGGTCTGCAGAAGCTGAGTTGGGGTCCCATGAACTTGACAGCCACGACACAATCTTCTTCCTCTGGAGATAGTGAGGACAAGGACACGTTGGTGATGATTTGGGTTTGGCAATGAGGCAAAGTTACAAGAGGAGGCAGCGAGATGCGTTTTGGATGCAAATCAGATGCAACGGGGTTTAGATCATCATTGAGACGCAGAGTGCCAACGTCATGCATCAAAGAGGCTACCCAGCCATGAGAGGACCCGATTGTTGTTACCGCTGCATCGTTATACACCAACTCGACAGGTGCCTTTTTTATCAATAAAGGAGCATCATTAATAAAATATGCATAATCGAGTAATACATGACCCGGCCCACAAGGATCGGTGCTTGCGACGACATAAGGAGGGGTTTGCACTAGGGGAGATGAGCCGCCAGCAGAGGCTCTTGCCAACACCGGTTTACGAATGAAGAGCTTCGGGGAGTGGCCGCCGAGAAGGAGAGACATGATTAAATTAAAACAAACAAAGAAGAAGAAGGAAGAACCGTAACTCGAGATGTTCAGATTACATCCCCACCTAAATCCTTCTATAAATACAGAACAAGGAACTTGGCCACCAAGTTTTCCATTAAAAATAAGAATAAATAAAACTAAATCATTTAGACAGAATCTTAATTGCATGTCGCTTAATCATGGTCAAACTCTCCATTAGGGCAGGGCATCATTACTTGCCTTACACACTCGTACTTGCCTTAAAAAATTTAAGCATCTAGTATTGTCAAGGCAAGTAATAAGGCGACAATTTTCATTACTTGCAAGGCTAAGTCAAGTATAGTATCAAGTATCATTATTATTTTGGGAAAATTGAAAAATTAGGACACTCTCAACTTGGATTTGTCCCTATAAGACTTTTAGAAGATTTTTTGGGAAAATAGGATTTTCAAATCTGTTAATATCATAATACCCTTTCAATTAATCAATTAAAGGAATTATAATTAAAAAAAAAAAGAAGAAAAAAACAAGAATCAGGACACAAAGTACAAAGGGGAAATCGATAACCCTAATTTTGTTTTACTTCATCTTCTCCGCCGAGCTCTCTCCCATGGCGATTCCGTATTCTCTCTGACATAATTATGTGACAATTCAACACATACTCGTACACGAAGAACACATTATGTATCAAGGTGACTCATGATTCAACACACACGAGGATCAAAACTGATTCAAAGAGAAATATTTGATTATATTTGGTTCGGTTCTATTATCTGGGATCAGGATCGATCGATCTAAAATAGAGATCGATCGATCTAAAATAGAGATCGATCGATCTAAAATAGAGATCGATCGATATAAAATAGAGATCGATCGATCTAAAATAGAGATCGATCGATCTATGATAGATTGATCGGTGAAGATCGACTGAACTGGACAAGTTCGATCAGTTTCTACTCCGTGCTTTTTTATGTTTTTGTTTAATCATCGAGATCGACCGTCGGGATCGACCGACTCTTTCTGGGATCAACCGATCCCGTGAGGAAAAGAGAAAATCGTGGACAAAATATTCTCTAAGATATTTAGGAAACATCTTTAACCGAATATGGAAGTTTCCATATTTTGCAGATTACCTAGAATATGTATACTACCTAAGGCATAACACAGTAGAAAAGGTGGGAAACGTATTCTTTCTCAAGCGTCACATAAGGTAACATGCTGAATTGGTTATGACACAAAATCTGGATGAGGTATATCAATAAGTTATGGTTATAAATCGGTACCTAGCTTCGCGTACACCAAAGACATATGCCTTGATTATAACGTTACCAATACTACCTTGGTTAGAATAGACAAGAAATGTTATATTACGTTTCATACCTCGGATCTATCTAGCAAGAATACCCAGTATATGTTTTCTAAACTGAGTAGATAACCAGAACAAGTATTCTATCAGTAGCTAGAAGATAATATAAAATATGATTCCACTTTTAAAAAATAAAAACTTAAACATATATGTTGTCATACTTATGTTTTCTAGCCTTCTCATATTTTTTTCTATTTTTCAAAATTAGTTTACTATTTTTTTTATTAATAAAGAATAAAACATGTCCAAAATTACCAAAAGTATGAGAAGTCCTATAGGGACAAATAAAAGTTTAAAGTGTCCCAATTTTCCTATTTTCCCTATTATTTTTGATACTTGACTCGTACGCCTCGTTACTTGTTCTATTAAGTGCTATTTGTTACATGATATATTAATTACTTATTCATATTTGTTTTTCTTTTACTAGTATTTAGGATTAGACACAAATACTCATTACTGTTCTTATACTTGTTTCGTATCCATCTTGATTTTTAAATACTCGTCATCATCTAATCAAGTATTACATAGCAAAAAATATTAAAAATCTAGTTATATTTACTTGTTATTATATATTACTTATTTAGAGAACATTTTTATTATCGTGAAAATTATACACTATTTATATATCATAATATGCATATATTTTTATTTGTCTTCTTTATAATATAAACAAATGTTTCACCTAAAGTGATTTACATGTTATTTTAAGTAAAATAAACAAAATAAATTTTCATGACTATTTCTAACAGGGAATTATTTAATAAATAGTTTTAAATATTTTGGAAAACTCATAAATAGTTCACAAAGACTCGTAAATAATTCACTAATACTCGTAAATAATAAGTAATAGAGCAATTTAAGTAATTTGCAAGTCATTCATTTTTTATCAAGTACTCGTTTCTAACAAATCAAGTACAAGTCAAAAATTTTATCATTCCTGCAAGGCAAGTCAAGTCGCAAGTACATGCAAAATAGCAAATACTTGCCTTGCGCCCAGCCGTACTCTCCATAAGATTGTTTCCATATCTAATAATTTTTGTTTTGTACTAAATTTCTATATTCTTATAAATGCTCACCATTGTTTGTATTGTTTGTATGTATCATTCCTTGCTCTACCAGACATTCGGTCGTCAAAAAGTAAGATTTCACATTTTATTATAAAAATTTTGGTTCTTTAAAGTTACTAATTAATAAAACTGTGACACATGATAATTATATATTTATGATTATGTCATGTGTTAAACTATTTCATAACTAATATATATATATACAGATAATAAAAAAAATAAGAGGGTTTAATTGTAGTTTTCTTTCTTTACAAATCCAAAACAACAAACTATTCGTAAAATAAATTATTATCAATTTTCTTTTTCTAAAATCCTAAAATAACATTAATTGATAGTAATTTTACTATTAGAATTTTATATATGTAAAAATATATCATATTAACATAAAATATATATACGAAAAAAATGAAAATGAAAATGATTTTAAAGATAAAATAATTTTTTATAATTTCTAATATATATCTTAAGATAATAAATGAATTTTGAAGATATTAATTTTTAAAAAATAAATAAAGAAAAAAAAAGAATTTATAAATTTTGAATAGTAAATTTTATTTATACAAATCCAAAAAAAATATTTAAAATAATAAAAATGAATTTTAAAAACATTAATTTGTAAGGATACTTTTAAAAAAAACTATTAAAATTCGTTAATAATTCTCTTATGTTCAAGATTTTAGAACGGACAATTACTATATAATAGATTTTTTCAAATACCTTTTATTTGGAATTTGGAAAAGGGAAATTAGTATCAAATAAATTATTTTGCAAATCTTTATTTGTTTGAATTTTTTTTTAAAAAATGGCTTAAAAAATTGCTATTAAAAGTTTTACAACATTATTTTTATCTGTAAAATCATTTTTATTGTTTCGTATATATATTTTATTAATGTGATATATTTTTATATACAAAAAATTCTAATAGGAAAATTACTATCAAATATTTTTTTTGGATTATAGAAAATGAAAATTGATAATAATCTATTTTACGACAAGTTTGTTGTTTTTGATTTGTAAAAAAGAAAAAATACAATTAAACACTCTTTAATTTTTTAATTTTATTCAAAATTATTATTTTCATAATTAGTTTTAGTTTTATTTTTTTTATTTTTTATTTAGAATTTGTAAAAAAAAAAAAAAAACTACAATTAAAAACTTTTAGCTTCTTTTTTCTTTCTAGTTTAAAATTTTTTTAAAAATAAGATTTCCAAAATTATTTTTATTATATTAGTATATATATTTATAATCATGGGAATTTTATTACATGCCACAATATTAAATAGAAAATTACTCTCAAATATTGTTTTAGTAAATATCCTTTATTTAGGATTTGAAAAATGGAAAATTACTATTACATATATTTCTAATTATTTTTTAATAAAATATGTTTTTATTATTATATATATTAATTATGAAATAGATTAACATATGTCACAATCATAAATATATAATTGTCATATTTAACAATCTTGTTAATTAGTAACTTTAAAAAAAAAGCTTTATATTATGATATATTTTTACATATAAAAAATTCTAATAATAAAATTACTATCAAATAATATTTTTTTTAGGATTTTAGAAAAGGAAAATTGATAATAATCTATTTTACGACTAGTTTGTTGTTTTGGATTTGTAAAAAAGGAAAAATACAATGAAATACTATTTATTTTTTTCTTTTATTTAAAATTATTCTTTTAAAAATTAGTTTTATTTTATTTATAATACTTTTGCTTAGGATTTGTAAAAGAAAAAAAGAAAACTACAATTAAAAAATTCTAGCTTCTTTTTTCCTTTTAATTTTAAACAATTTTTAAAAATAATATTTAAAAACAATTATTATCTTAGTATATATGTTTTTAATCATAAGAATTTTATTACATGCCACAATATTAAATGAAAAATTACTATCAACTATTTTTTTTTGTAAATATCCTTTATTTAGGATTTGAAAAACGAAAAATTACTATTACATAATATTTCTAATTATTTTTTAACAAAATTTGTTTTTGATATTATCTATATATATTAATTATAAAATAATTTAAAACATGTCACAATCATAAATATATAATTGTCATGTGTCACAATCTTGTTAATTAATAAATTTGAAGAACCAAGTTGTATATAATATAATATTAATTAAATATTATTTGGTGAGTTTCTCGAGATACATGCAAAATAATTAAGGGACAATTGCACAAATACCATTTTTGTGATACCACAATTCAACTTAACCATCACTCAAAGGACATTTTCATAAATACCTAGATCATTAATAGGAAAAAGACAATAATAACCCTTTCATAAATTAATCATAATTTTCTATCTCTTTCTCTCGAGAGTGGCGACGGCGACGAGATCGAGCGACGAGATAATCCAAAGTTCCGCTTGGATTCACCGATGTGAGCAGATGTTCGGTTTGATGGAAGAAGACGATGTTGACACTATTATCGAGGAAAATGGTGTTGACTACGAAAGCCATTTCGAGCTTTCCTCAAACCTCCGTGACTTTGCCGCCGCTGCTCAGTCCGGTGACGTCGTCGCCTTGCGCACCGCCATTGGTACTTCCTTTGCTTTTCGAACCAATCAATAACCCTAAGGTCAATCGTCT